ATATTTTTTCTTTTAGCTAAGAGATTTATAGAAAAAAAGACTCCTAATTTTACATTGAGAGGGAGAAATTTACGGCTATGTACTGTCAGTCTAGGGACTGATAGTAAGACCATTCCTTTCATGAAATATGAGTTATAGAAAATTCAAGAATTATAGGAGGGGATGGAAAGTTAGTGATAATAACACTAATTAGGCTTGAGTGCCCTCTGACTCCTCCTCAACAACCTGAAGTTCTATGTGAGCTTCTCCAATTTGCTCTTTTGGATTTGATCACTAATCCCATTAAATTAATTAAGGCAAGAGGCCATTAGACTGAGGTGGCTATGGTGGCCTACGTAAGCAAACCGACATCTAGGCCTATAAATATCTCAAGATCACAAAACTGAGACCTAAGAACAACCAATAACAGTTAACTAGGGTTCAGGCTACCACCAACCAGTAGTTGCTCCTTCTCTTCTCTCTCCATTTCTCTATCTCCTATCAGCAGAAGGGGCTAGACCTTGACAAAAAATTAGAAACTGGGATCGTGGGAGACATAACAGGAGGGGTAAGGATAGGACCCTGGGAGACATGGGACCCCCAGGAGATATAATGAGACATAATAAGAATGAAAAGTCAATAACAAGAAAAAAGCCCAGGACACTATCACTGGTAAATCTATTAGGACATTGGCCAAGGTTGACCAGTTAAGAAACTGCATGATCACCACAGCTCATCCTCTAGACCCATAGTTGTTTTCACCAGTGGTAAACCCTTTGAGACCCCTCTGTGCAGGAGCTGTCTGCTATCTCTCCTTGTATAAATCTTTTCAGTCCTGCTTGCTGCTGGCAGGAACTAGCCTGTTTCTTTAACCCTTGCATTGGAGAGTTGGCCTGTGTCTTTGAATAAACTTCCTTTGGCTTTCTTATTGTTGTTGGCATGTGATATTTCATTTCTTTGATACACCAGCCATGGTTCCCTGTATATTTGGGGGCTCATTTATGATCTTGCTCTCACAACAATCAAAGCAACATAGCCACTTCCAATATGGCACTCCAATAGATTCCTAAATTGTTTAATATGACACCATTTATCTTTAAACTTTCTTATTTCTGTTCTTCCCTCATCAAAGGACAGGAAAAACATAGCCTAGGCGATTGTGGGGTAAGAGGAATGGGTAATACGGAGTGCTCCTCACACTGTCAGAGAGGACTTGGTATGGCTAAATGTGTGACCACAGGCCAGAAGCAGTGTGGTGTGTCATTGTCACACTTTCCAAGAACAGCAGTGCCTCACGGGCCTTCCAGATCCTAAGGGCACAGTGAAGGGAGTACAGTGTCAGCAAAGGTGACAAAGTTTCACAAACTCCACATTTTTCTATGTGTTTTCATCAGTTTGACCTTTTCTAATTAGGAGACACCTTTTCATATGACTGCCTCTACTCCCCAGCTACCTGCTCTGTGGATAAGCTCTTTACATCGAGCATATGCATTTATGCATTAACAATTTCTTCAGCAACTCTGCAAGTGTGATAACTTGTTACTTATATTTCAGTGTTTCATTTTATGTCCCTGATGAAAACTTCAAAAAGCAAAATTCTATTTAGCAGGTAGAATATATTTGTTGTGGTTCAGCATGTGGACCCTATCTGTGACAGAAGAATACTGGGGAGGAAGGATTCTGGAGTCCAAGGTTGGAGGAACTGGGCTGTGGAAGACAGGAGTGGACCTTACATTTTAATGCTGAGAATTCTGAGTGCTGTATAGACACAAAGATTTTGTTTCTGATAAAAGTCAAGTGTTAGGAAATGAAATCTGATGATGGTTCATTTTTACAAAGGTAGGTGAGAATTCCCACCATAATGGTTGGAGTTTAGAAGCACACATGAACTGAATGAACTGTTATTTCACTCTGGAACATGGCAGATGGAGTCTGAAGTGCACAAGCAGTGGAGTGGAAAGATTCTTTGTGTATATGTCATTTAGTGCAGTCACTCAAGCCTGTTTTCAGCAGACTGCCCTTTGTACAGACTTAAGACCAGAACTTTAGATGTGCATGAAGTCATTCTGTAGAATTAACTCATCTGCATGTTCCACAGAGATGTGCAGCAAAAGTGTGCCTGCCACATTAAGATGGCCCTTAATGGGATGAAACTCCTGATCTCATTTAAGTCCTGTCTTTGTATCCGGTATTTTTGAAAAGACAAAACAAAGTTGAAAGTGAATCATTTGCCCCAGGATCACACACCACCTGGTTACTTAATTTATATTTGAAGCTAGGTCCTTTTGGCCACAAACTTTCTGTTCTTTTCTATTGATGATATTCCACCTCATTTCCTTTTCCCCTTACTCACTAGTGGGAAGAAGTATCTGCCACAGCACACACTGAGCTCACACACAGTTAGAAAGAGAGGCCTTGTGACTCCATGGCTGACATTCTTCCCCTTGAGAGAGTGGTTCACAATTGGGATTATAACTCAATTTAGGCCAATAAAATATAGAACAAAGTTGTTGTGGCATTCCTGGGAAGACCTCAGTTGAATGGAATTGGTTACAGAAACAAGACCTCCCCGGTTTAGGGGAGAAATTCTGAGGCAATCTCAGGTACACCTGACCAACATCCTTCGACAGCAAGTTTAACTTGCCTCAAGATGGAATGACCCCTTGGCAGAGAGAGATGGCCTAGACATGGACCAGGCGTGTAGAGTGTCACTGCTTCTACTCACGTATGTTCTGGACTCTCCCTTACATTTCCAAAGACTCCACTCCCACAATTATGGCCAGTTTTCTGTCTCATTTTTTCTGACTCATCCCTATCAATATCTTTCTTTATTCTGCATGTTTTAAACCTATCTTGAATTCTTTCATGTTAAAACAGAATAAATCTTCTTTGGGGAAGTGGGCACATTGGATTATGGTGGACTATGGGAACCTTGTTGATGGGTGTGGTGTGGTAATGTTTTTCTTAAGAGGTGTAAAATCTATACCTCTGAATCAGAGAGTGTTGAAAATCATTGTTATCCCAACAAAAATACATAACAAATAAAAGTAAAATAAAACAAATCTCCTTTGATTGAGTAGTCTCTTCCAGGTATAGTTCTTTTTCTTTCCTCCCCTTTTCTAAAACTTTCTATCATTCTTGTCTGGCACTTGTCACAAGAACTGCTCTTGACAACTTGGCTATTGACCTTCATCTTGAAAAGTCATGGACATTTTTCTTGATTTCCATGCAGGATTTAAATGGATTGAACATCCCCTCCTCCTTAGAATGCTTTACTGTCATTGCTTCCATGCCTCCACATTCCCCTAATCTCTCCCTTGCCTCATTGCCTCCTGCCTCTCTTTTTCCTACCCTGACTTCTCTGTTGAATTTCTAAATGTTGGTCTATATCAAAGCTTGGTCCAAGGACCTCTACTTTTCTCTGCTAATTCTATCCCCCCTGCTATTTTTTCAAGACTCAATTCAGAGAATGTTCATGTAAGGCTCAATATTTATTGTGTCATTTATACACCAGACTCTGTACTAAGAACTGGAAATGGAGCAATAAGTAAAGTCTCTGCCTTTCTGCATTTTGATGGTAAGTGAAAAACAATAACAAGATAAATATGTAAGTATTGTCAGGTAGTGATGAGTACTAAGAAGAAAAACAAAGCAGCTCTAAGAATCTCCGTGGTTTTGTCTTCATCATAGTCACCACAGTCTGTAATAATAAAATATGCCATTGTTTGGTTACCCCCATAAAAAGCAGTTGTGTGAGAACAGCAACTTTGTTCATAGCTGCATCCCTTGGACTTAACACAGAGCCTGTCAGAGTAAGGATTCTACAAGTACTTGTTGAGTGAGAACAGTAGAGGTCCCTGCTCTGCAAGTGCATGAATCAGCTTGGTTCTCACCTGAGTGTAATCAGTAACCAATACACAGCTTTGGGCAAGTCACCTCTGGCATTTTCTCAACTCCATAAATGTTTAAGTTTTTAAATTGTGCACTTTGAAATTATGTTTAAAAGCTAGGCTTTTTATTTACCTGACCACATTTTTATAGGACCTAATTTCAGTAATAATATTCTGAAAGGCTCTGATGCCCAATGAGAGGAAAGTATATTATTGGGGATTTGCCACAGGAATCCTGAGGATTCCATGTTCCCATCCCTGGTTTTCTCTCACTCCGGTCTCAGGTGGCCATTTATTCTGCCATTCCTCCAGAACCAGGGGAAACAAATGGAGGGAAAGGATAAGTGAAGGAATTCATTTTCTGCAACAAGAGCTGTTGGGTGTAAACAGCTATTTTTAAATCAACAAATGAAAATATATTGGGTAAGAAACTCTCTTAGAACCCAGACTGACAAACTGGCAACTTTTGAACACAACCAAGAAATCCTATTACTAAGCAGTTAATTACTATGTAACTAGAGACATAGCTAGGTAGGAACAAAACATCAATTTGCTTACAGAGGAGGAAAAATTTCTCTTCTGATATGGCAAGATTTCCCAGGGCACCTTCTGGAGAAGCACAGGGGGATGACCATTCATTCAAAGACCCCGCCCTTGCTTTCTCCCCCCTACCACACACACCCCATTTCCTAGGCAATTTCTAAAGACTTCACTTTCCAAAAATCCTGGTCTTTTATTAGCGAGAAAGGAGTTCTTTTCCCACCAAGGTATCCGTATTATAGAAGGTCTCACTCGTGTGCAAGAATGAGAACAGGAGCCTTTGCCATGCGGGGTAAACTATGTTACACTGTGTATATGAATCTTAACGCCAGGCATGAGTCTAAATAACTTAACAAACAAACAAGCACGTTGATAAAGGCAAGAAGGGAGGAAAAACAACTAGAAGTCAAAAACCAATTGTGTCTTTGATAGAGAAATGGGCTGGAAAACTGCTGTCGTTTTCCTTCTAATAAATGATGACAAAGGCGGACACCTAAGAACTAAAATGTCAATAAAGCAATACCGTTCATAGAAAAATAAATAAATAACATTTATTTTGTACAAAGCAGCTGTAGGTGAGGGAGCCCCCAGCGGGCGGAAAGCGCCCCGGCAGGACCCGGCGGGCCCTCAGGGAAGCAGCAGGGCGCCCAAGTGCAGCTCGCCCCGCTCCGGGCTGTGGCCCTTGTGCTCCGCTTTGACGCGCACGGCCAGGCGGCGCACGTCGTCCTCCGAGAGCCCGTCCAAGCAGAAGTCCTGGTCCAAGACGGCCGTGCGGCTCCGCAGGACCATGGCGCCGCGGGGCTGGCGCGCCTTGCCCGGCGGTTGCAGCACAAAGCTGACGCGGCAGCCGACCGCGCAGGGCTCGGCGCTGCCTCCGGCCGGACCCTCGGCTCGGAGCAGCCGGATGCGCAGGCGCCCGCCTGCCGGACTGTACTGCGCGGCCAGGCGCAGGGCTCCACCAGCGCGGCCCAGAGTCACGGTGCCCTCGGCCTCCAGGGGCGGGCGCCGCGGGGCTGGGGGCGGCAGCCGAGCGAGCGCGAGGGCTAGAGGTGTCGCGGGAAGGGGCGCCTGGGCTAGAGGTCCTGGTCCCCCGACCTGACGTTACCTGTGTTCCGCCGCAGGTGCACCCCTCACTCGGCCGCCCCAGCGGCGACTTGGGGAGCCGGCGATGGTCTGGACCGAGCGACTAGGGGAGCTTCTGGGTCACCGGGAGGCGTAGGGCGGA